ATGTATAAATTGAATAAATTATTATTACTTGATTAAATTTTCAGATTGATTTCATGAAGTTTTGTTTATTTCATAAAACATTTTAGAGGAAAATACGTGTTTTATAAGTAAAAAATTTGAAATCAGATCTTTTATATAATGTTGAGGAAAAAAGAAAAAAAAACTACGCGATTCACCACATTAATTATCTCTAACGTACAAAAATAAGTGTCCAACTTATATATATTCAGATATGGAAAGGGTCGTTAACTTTTCTTGTATACGTGATGCTGGAGACATGCTCTTACTAATAAAAATTCAAGGGATTTTGTAATAAAAAAAAATTATATTCAAAATTAAGATATTACTCCAAATATTGATTACGTTCAAAACTTTTTTTCTTTTGTTTTTGATTCTTTATACTTTTATACATCATTTATTATTAATATTTTTAGTAAACTCGATGGATTATTTCATTTTAACGTACAAAAAAAATATGTTTGTTTCATATTCGTCTGAGAAATCTAATTTTTGTATCATGATTTACTTTGCAAGGGAAATCATATAAAAATTCTGAAAAACAGGCTTAATAATACTGAATCATTCAATCTATTATTGCGAAATTTATATTTCAACTTTAAACAATTGGTGACTATAAATGGTTGTTATCGTATAATCGAAATTGCAGAGTCTTGAAATGTTCGCATTAAATAATTGCGGGTTTTTTTTCATTTATAGTATTTAATGAATCAATTTCTATTACACAAACTTGAATTAATTGGGTGTATCAAACAAATATATTAATTCATCGAATTTACCTTTATACAATGATTGTTGAAAGTGCCAAAGAGGTTAACCATTATTAATAATTAGATAGGCGATATAATAATTTGTATGACTTGTAATTTTTACATCATTTTACGCTAAACAGTTTTAACATTCATTTCTTGTTAAAAAATGGTTTTTATTAATTTCCATTATGTAGAATTAACAGTTTAAGCGTTAAAAAAAAAATTAACCTATACAAAATTTACTAAATAATTTTCTAGTATTGTTTCTTTTAAGTTACTGACATTTTATTTCTACCGAGCTAAGGGCGAAGGAAACGTATATATGCGAATAAGTTCTTTAAATGATAGTTTTTTCAGTGTGAATATCATTTGGCAAGGAGACGACAGTCCAAAGTATCTGTTGTCTATTAAAACTGAGCCAATATAACTTAGTTATTCATCATTATTTTCGCGGACTAATTTTTTTAGCACCACATCGGTCTTAATTTCACATAGTTCTAAACTAAAGATTTTTTATGGTTTTTGTGAGGATGATAACAAAGTGATAACCTTTATGAATTTCAGAAGAGAATCAAAGCCTCATCTTGTTCGTATAGACTAGAGCCAATCCTTAAGGTAGAAGAGTATCTTTAGGTCTAGAATTAGATCGGTCAAATCAGACTGGTTTTTCATCTTTCTTAGTCCATAAGTCAGTCCTTAGACCGGTCCTAAGGCCGGTATTGAGTCATTCCTGGTCCTAAATTCATTCTATTTCATTCATAAGTCCTGTTTTTTATAACTTATAATATATATTATTAAAATTTACGATGTTTTACTGAAATGATCATTTTGACGTAGGCGAAGTCACATTTATTTGAGCAAAACTTTTTTGACGAACTTTTTCTTCAATACGTTTAATAACTGTATGCGATTATTATTATTGTACTATACTTTTATATATTTTATATTTATGATTACAATTATTTTATTTTCTAAAACAATCTGTACATTCATATTTTGATCATATATCAAATATATTCTAAACCGGTCTGGACTGGTCCTCAGATTATGGATTGATCGGTCACTAATCTTACCAGAACTGATTCATCCCTACTTTAAGTATAATGTAACAGAGCTCATTGCGTTAATGTTATCAAATTGATAAATGTTTATGAAATTTTTATTCACAAGTTCGTAGTCGCCCTTTTTAAGTTTCCCATTTATAATGTCAAATCTTGTTCTATAGAAGACTGTTAAAAGCAAGAATAAAAAAAAATAATTTATTAGTAAAAAATTTATGCGAAAAAAAATGAATAGGTTGTATTATTCAGAATATTGATATTAAGACAAACAACAAATTCAGACTGCATTTCACAAAATTTAATGAGAAATTAAAGACGCATTAAAAGCTTGAGGCATAAAAGATTTTAAAAATAAAAAAATTATTCAAATGAATTTAGAATACTACAATGATTTGTATAGTAGAGCTAAGTTCCAGTGGCCAACTATTTATGTATAATAAAATACTAAGAAAATCAGAAATCAAAAATAAACGAAATCACAAATACGAAATCTAAAAAGTTAAAAAGGCGAAGGCGAATATATCACAAAGGGGTTAAAGGTAGGATTTCAAGGTGTATGTATGCAAAATATAATAAGGTCGAGCGTGGAATGTATTTGTTGTTTAAGGATTTCCAGCTCGTATTTATAAAAAAAATAATCATTAGGCCAGCCTGGCGTCTTGACATTTTGTTATACTGGCACCCTTGACAGCCTGGCACCTGGCAAATATCAAAAGCAATTTCATGCAGAATTATGGCGAAATTATATCCAGTGTAATAGGAAGTTTAGTTTTATTGATTATATATTGTTCCGCCCTAATAATGTACCGTATAGTCCTGAAAATAAGCACCCTGTGACACGCCCCTTTTATAGTAATTTATTTATTTGTCACATGGAATTTATTATATTATTAGTCACGTATATACTGATAAATTCATATATATCACATGGTGCTTATTTTCGGGACTATACGGGTAGTTATTTATGGTAATGTTAAAAAAAAAATTTAATATAAAAACGCGGTAGAGAAGACGCGAAACACATACTTCTTTTATTTCCATTTCCGTCTCTGTTTATTTAACCAAGGAGTAATTATTTACATTATCGTTATATATCAAATTAAAAATTATCGTTTGTTTTAAAAAAAGGCCAGATTGATGTAAGATAAAAGCAAAGATAATATATATATATGGGAGTGTTTCTAGGAAAATCAGGTTCTGAGAAATTTTTGACTAAAATTAAGAGCTTAATACATTTTAATCTAATTACATCAAAAACTAAAATGCAATAAAAATCTCAATTTTGCTAAAAAATTCCCGGAACCTGATTTTCCTAGCAATCTACCCATATTATATAATACTGATAGTTTTGATAGTTTGTATAAATTATTTATTGGTGTAATTTTAATCGTTTCAACTTGTTTATTACAAACAACAGTTTCAATTTGGTTTAAGAACTATTATTATTTATAATAAATTTATAATAAATTTGAAAAATGAAAATAACACTTGAGTTTTTCTACGGACAAATTGCTAAAGTCTTTAAAACTTCAAAATCGATGGTGTAAGGAGTGCGACCATATCAAATAATTGACGAATGGATAAATTTATTAAAGATACTACGGTATGTATGATGCCAGAAATAGTGGTAGATGGCTTGAATGGACTTTTTGATGAGATAAAAATAAATACATAACTGAAAAAACATTGTATTTTATTCTAAATGTTTTGTTATTTTATTATAGCCTAAAATACATTGGAATTTCAACTCAAGTGGTTCTTATCGTTAGGGATTTCGAAACATCTGAAAACTAATGAATTTATCAAAGTGTCTTAAAGAGAGTTACATAATCTGAGATATTGTCATAATGAGTTAGTTAGTTAATATTTTATTACAACGACCAAAGATTTTAGAATAATAGATGAATTTGGTTTAGGAGGTTTATCAATCAAAAATATGCGATTAAAAAGTTTACAAACTTTTTTACATCAATGAAGTTATTAATGTATTTTCATACCCTTTGCTTCAAAAGGTTCTTAATTGAACTTGACTTGATAGATTTTATTGATTTGATTATTTTATTTCAGGTTAATTTAATGAATAGAGTTCATTTTCATCCTAATATTATTAAACTTTGTGGAATTACAAAAAAAGAAAGTTCATTAATGTGGTAATTACTTATGATAAAATTACCATTATATTACTTTTTAGATGAATATTCCAAACGAAATGAATTATTTACTCGTTCTTGAATATGCCGACAGCGGTACCTTAAGGGAATATTTAAAGGAAATTTTCAAATCAATTAAAACTTGCAGAGTGCTATCTCATGATAATGAGAATCATGTTAGTTTGATTAATTTTATTATTTAAAAAATTTCATTATATTATATAACTAATACTTTTATAAAATTTATCATTTTTAGCACCCAAAGAATAAATTAATTGGCAGATTTTGGAGTTCACGTTGGTTAAAGCAATCACATACAAAAAGTTTACATGGAATGATGATGACAGGCCTTAATAAATTGGTAATGTGTCATCTGACATCAATAGTATGATAATCAAAAAATTAGCATTTTACATACGAGTTATTTATTATCGGTATGTCTTTGATCAAATGTAAAAGTTGAATAATATATTTCATAAGTAAATAAGTTAAGAAAATGAATTAGAATATTACACAATACCTATCATATCTCAACAGGGCATATTTTCCTTTTTCTTTATTTCTGTATTTTGTATTAGTACTATAGCGACAATTTTTTATCATTTTTATGGATATTCAAATTAGAGAAAATATTCTAATTCCATATCGAAATGTACTGTAATTCTTTATATGATTAATTTATTATTATTTGTTGATAGTAAATAATGATGTCTTAACGTTCGCTAATGAACTGACTTACATAACCCGCAAAAAAAAAAACAAAGATTTTCGAATGCATGACGGGGCTGTTAAAAAAATCAGTTTTATCACAAGTAAAATCAATGCCACGTGTCGAAGTCATTGAAGATGGCGCAGTATCGCTAATAAATTGATAGATTCCGGCCAAAATGGCTAAAATGTTCGGTCACAATGATTTTCTGATTACGTTATCATATTGTATGTAGTACATATTGTTCTTCATGTGGGTAAATTTTCAATTTCTTTCTTTCAAAACTTGTCACAAAGGAAAAACTCCGATTATGGATAATACAATACCAACAAAATTGATTCTTTTCAAGAATGATGAAAATACCTTTAAAGAATTAATTAAGGACTTTTATGAGAAAATCATCAATACGGTTTCTTTTGATAATTTTGAGAATTCATCAATCGAATGGATAAAGATCACACTTGTACAAAACGATTTAAATGTTGAAACATTCCTTGAATTCATGCAGAATCATGAAGAGAGTGAAACATGGTTTTCCAGTTTAATTGGGTTTTTTTATCAACATGGGATAGGGTGTAACGTTAATGAAGATGTCGCATTGAAAATGTATTCGTTGGCAATTAAACAAGTTGAAATTGTTAATAACACAATAGCAAAATATTTATTATCGTTGTTTTATTATAAGGATATCATTTTAGCTAAAGGTAATTCGGGAAATTCGATTGGTTTGACCATGATTAAACCCAAAGTTATAATTTCGCAATTTAAAAATTTTAAAGATATTCATGAAAGGAAAAATTATTCGAAATTAGAAGAAAATTTAAATTTTGATAATAATAATCCTGAAACTTGTAATAATGAAGAAGAAGAAGAAAATCTTGGTTTAGATTTGAACCGTCAACATGAGATGGAAATTGAAAAGAAAAGGTTTGAACGATATATAATATCCGCGAGAAGAGGTCAAGTCTCAGCAAAATATAAGTTAGGTCGTTGTTACCAATACAATAAAGGAATAGGTAAAGATGAAGGTAAAGCTTTTGAATGGTATTTGGAATCTGCTGAAAATGGAAATTCTAGTGGTCAAAGGAAATTAGGGGATTGTTTTCAATATGGTAAAGGAACGATTAAAGATGAAAAAAAAGCTTTTGAATGGTATACAAAATCTGCCGAAAATGGAAGTTCGAATGGTCAAAGAAAGTTGGGACATTGTTATCAATATGGGATAGGTATTAAAAAGGATGAGATAAAAGCGTTGGAGATGTATTTAAAGTCTGCCGAGGCAGGAAATATTACCGCACAATATACTCTAGGACGTTGTTATCATTATGGGATAGGAACTAATAAAGATAAAAAGAAAGCTTTTGAATGTTATTTGAAATCTGCCGAGGCAGGAAATAATACTGCACAATATACTCTAGGATATTGTTATCAAAATGGAATCGGAACGATTAAAGATGAAAAAGAAGCTTTTGAGTGGTATTCAAAATCTGCTGATAATAATAACTCGAATGGTCAAAGAAAGTTGGGACGTTTTTATCAATATGCGATAGGTATTGAAAAGGATGAGATCAAAGCATTTGAATGGTATTATAAATCTGCCGAGACGGGAAATAGGGCTGCACAATATAACCTTGCGCGTTGTTATCAGTGTGGAATTGGAACAATTAAAGATGAGAAGAAAGCTTTTGAGTGGTTTTTGAAATCTGCCGAGACGGGAGATAAGACTGCACAATATTACCTTGCGCGTTGTTATCATTGTGGAATTGGAACAAATAAAGATGAGAAGAAAGCTTTTGAGTGGTTTTTGAATTCTGCTAAACTTGGAAGTATCAGTGCACAAAATAGTTTGGATATTTGCTATCAGCATGAAATAGGAACAATATAAAATTAGAAGTGATTTTTATTAGATTATTCAGTGATTATTGAATAATTTATGTAATTTATGAGACGAATGAAGATAAATAAATTAGACAACATAAATATAGATTTGACTCTATTATAATGTTCAGTAATAAACGGAATTTCACTTTTGTCCGCAAGAACTTATTACATATTTTGGAATGGATTTTTGTTAAAGTATACGTTCATTAAAATAATCTCTTGGAGATATTTTAAGGAAATAATCCTTTTAGAAATATTCTTACAAATTAGACATTATAGAACATTACAAATTAGTTTAGAGTATAGAAAGTTCTTACAAACTTATAAGGGCAATGTCATTAAAGAAATCAATGGCACGCGAGAAGTTTTTTTAGTCTGTAAAGAATTCGATCAAAATTTTTATGGGTTTGTAACAAATATTTTTTTTTTCCATTCATTTATAGCACGTGATAATTACAAATAAAAAACTATTATAAAGTTTTTATCATTTCATGAGATTAAAATTCAAGGATTGAACTTCTCTTTTCTAATACCATATTCATTTAACGCACAGTATTTGTTGATCTTGATTTTCAATAGGATTTTTAATATTTTATTATTTTGGTTGTAATAGCTTGTTCATTCAGAAAGGTATTTAATATTAGACATAAATTTTGAAATTCGAAGTTTCATGTTAAATATCATGCTCTGATTCATTAAAGATTCGTAATATTTTAATTATTAAGTCGCTATGTATGATAAGAAATTGTAGAAAATAATAAAAAGTTTCTTTCTTTTTCACTAATTAAAAAAAAATTTAACTGACTCCAATATTAACCCACTATATACTATGTTAATATATTTTTCAAGATGTTGGCGTCAAATATTAGGTAAGCCCCTATTATAACCATAGTGAAATTCAAGAGAATTTTCTCAAATCTATAAAGTGATTAATGAACGAACTGGTAGATTAATTATAATATGGAAATTTACGAAATGGATTAATTTAAAACGACCATAACATCTGACCAAAAATAAAATTTTAATGTTGTAATTAAAAATTCTATTATGATAGAGATGTGCATTCAATGCTGGGTTAATTAATTATAAAAATGGTGAACGTAAAGGCATACCTAATGATGTCAAGTCGACTTGTTGGCAGGAGAAAGAGATAATTCATAAGCGATTGAAATTTGACGTTAAAAAATGTTTAAATGCGAGTCTCATGAATTTATCAAGAAAGCAATCGTAGATCATATAATTTCCATTTACGAACATTGTTTCCTTTTCTTTAAAATATCTAGCTGTTCAATATTAATCAGATGATTAAAATCTCGTTTTTTAATTGGTTCGGACAATTCAATATTTTCAAAAAAATATTTATAATTTATATCACATAAGTACTTGTTTGCCAAATTTAGATACAAAAACACATACCCCCCTTACGTAAGACAATTAAAACCAAATGGTTTTGGAAATAATTGAAAGGAGGAAAGAATAAAGAATATTTAGTCCGCTGCGGATTATGTAACCATTGTCACACTATTTGTGGAGTTTAAATTCCTGCTTTGCAAAACTGGGACTAGGTCTTCTACTTAAAAAATCTCTTTAGAATATTATTAACATTCAGTCAAAAATGTACTACTAACATTATTTTTTTGGACTTAGTCGGAATTTTGATTACTGGAGTGTGCCGCTGTATATAGATGACGTTCATAAGTATATATAAATATACTAACAGATATTCTTTCTTGTAGTTTAATCGTTAAAATACCAAGTTGAAATTATGTCTTGGAAAAATGATATTCGAGTGGTGGTTGGCATAGGTAATTACAATTATTCATATACGATTGATTATTACCTTTAGGAATAAAATGTTAAATATCCTTTTTTGTTAAAAAAAAAAAAAAAAAAAAAAAAAAAAATCGATTTATATTTCTTTTATTCTTTTTAAAGATTTCGGAACTACTTATTCGGTAAACATGCATTTACTTAGTTTTTCGTTAATATTATAAATTAATTTTAAATATGTTAGTAATTACCTTTTCCTCATAGGGATTTTCTTATTGTCATGTAGCATCTGATAACAAAGAAATTGTTACAAACGACCAATGGCCTGATAACGCTGGTCAATTTAAAACAAATACTGTTCTTCAATATGATAAATACTTCGATAAAGTGGAAAAATGGGGAAAGCCTGCTTTATCTAAACGAAGTCGAAGGGGTGAACATAAATCAGAAACTAGACCCGTGGAATTATTTAAATTACATTTGGGAAATTTAGATGAAAAATTAAGACCTAAACTTCCTATTAAATATAAAAAAGCTATTACTGACTACCTTGAAGAAATTGGAAAGGTAAGAATAAAAATTTGATTTTTAGTTTATTTATTTACATATATATTAATATTATATTATATTTCTTTCCTTTTTTTTTTAAAAAAAAAAAAAAGTTAATTAGAAATACACTTAAAATCCATTGGGATGACGTAGATTTATTTAAGAATGTCCTTTTGGTACTCAGTGTTCCCGCAGAATATTCAGAAAAAGAAAAGGCGATATTGAGAAAATGTGCATACAATGCCAAATTAATTGACGACAAAAATACACAATTTTTACAATTTACTACTGAACGTACGTTGATTGGAATTTTTTTTTTTTTTGTTATATTATTATAAAGTTCGAATATTAAGGTTCAAAATTATGATTATAAATTATAATTAATTAGCCGAAGCTGCTGCAGTCTATTGTATGGAAAGTTGTTTAAGAGAATACGATACGACTGGTATAGGAAGTAAGTTTTTTCTTTCCCTGCAATATCTTTTTTATTTTAAATAAAGAATCATTTTGTAATTTTTCAATTTATTTTTTTTTTTAGCAACTTTCATGATTGTTGACTGTGGAGGAGGGACAGTGGATCTAACAACTCGAAAACTTGTAGGTGAAAAAAAAGTTGGTGAAGTTACTGTAAGAGCAGGGGATTATTGTGGAAGCACATTTATCGACCAAGAATTTCTCAAGTTTTTGGGAAATCTTTTAGGAGACTCTGCAATCAACCAATTAAAAGGAAATAATTATAAACAGTTGCAATATATGGTTCAAAAATTTTGTCGACATGCCAAACTTCCTTTCACAGGTGAAGATAAAAATTTTCATTATGAATTAGATATTTTGGATACAGCACGTGAATTGCAACAATATGTTACTGGTAGCTTTAAAAATTCAATGGATAAAAATGAATGGATTATTGATATTAATTATGATGATATGAAATCAATGTTTGATCCGATTGTTGATAGAATCATTAATTTAATAACGGTACAACTTCAAAATTGTCGTAGTGAATGTTCAACGATGTTTTTAGTTGGTGGGTTTAGTCAATCAGCATATTTACAAAGTTGCATTAAACTAAAATTCAAAGATAGGGTGAAGACGATTTCAGTTCCTACTCATCCCATTGCTGCCATAGTTCGTGGCGCTACATTATACGGTTTAGGATTTTATGACAAGATCAATAATTTAGAAAATGGGGATAATGTAAGATGTATGTTAACCACTCGTGTATTAAAATTCACTTATGGAATTGAAATTTATGAAAATTGGAAGTCAACTGATCCAAAAGAACGAAAGAATTTTAGAGGCGATATTTTGAAATTTCATCGTATTGCTAAGCGAGGAGAAGAAATTGAAATTGACAAAGAGATCATTGTAAGAAATTTTTGTCCCATTGATCTTTTGCAAAAAATTGCGGTATTCTCTATATATTACACACGAGAATATGATGCCGAATATTGTGATGAACCTGGGATGGAATTATTAGGAAAGCTCAAGATAAATTTTCCGAATAGTGAGTTTAATAGAAATGTTAGCTTTGGTTTATCTTTTGGCAGCATGGAAATTACTGCCACCGCAAAAAATGAAACAAATGGTCAAAACTATCTTGCTACTTTTGAAATAGAAAAAGAGAATGATTGATTCATTCACTTTGAGCGTGTACAATATAGAATTTTTTTGAGAAAATAAATATATTATTTAAATTATTTTAATCTAATGAAATTTTTTTAAAAAAAAAAAATCCACGCTTTGACATTTTTACTATTCTCCTTTTGATAAATAGTTATCTTAACGTTAATAAAATAAATAGAAACCTTCAGAGTTTAATGAATTGTAAAAATGGTAAATCTTTATACTTTGGTTCCATTATTGTTTATAGTGAATTAGGACTTTTGCAGGAGTATAAACTTGTAAATTTGACGAATAATTGGATTTTTTATAAATAAGAGGGAAAATACATAAATCCACGTATGCATTTTCTATATCATCTTCATGTGAGGATTCTGTCATTCGATTTGAATCGAATTCTTCATTAGGACTAATCCATTCATATTCTGCAATTGGTTCTTGGGTTTTGAGGCGAAAGAAAAATATCCTAAAAACTTCACGGATGATATCTGCAGTTTTATTTTTGATTTCTTTTTCTTTAGCAGGATCGTTTATCTTTCGATAAGAATCCATTTCTTTGTTAAGTTTTTCTTTATGAAATTTGATGAAATTATGCTCATTTGGCTTGTTTTCATCAATCACAATGTCGGAAAATCCACGAGTACCTAAAGCTGCGTAAATTTGTTGCCTTATTTTAATGGGTACAGCCGAAGTTACATTATCAGTTCCATCACGTGTACTTGCGAATTCATTTGCTAACTTATCAAGTTCTTTTGCCTTGTTAACAAACTGTGCTTCAAGATAATTATCATCTTTACGATTAAAAAATGACGCCCGTTCAAAAATTGAACTCGTACGATCAAGATATGTTTTTATATAACCGAAAATTGTTTCTAGGACATGACGTTGTAAGACAGCTTTAATAGAAGAAAAATCATTATCTTTTGTTTTCAACTTAATTTTACTTTGATATTTGGTAAAAAGAGTATTTACCATTTTTATATCAATTGATATGTTTGGTCTTAAATGCGTTATGTAAATTTCTAGAGCATTTTGTAAACTTAAAATGTCATCTCTAAGTTGTACGGAATTATTTTTATCTTCATCGCCTAATCGAAAGGTCTTTGCAATTCCAAGTGCTGATTGGTATTTCGATGCTTGTTCTTTCAAGTCGACATTGGCTTTTTTTAATTCATCAACATAATTTTCGTAATAATCAGCATTTTTTTTGTAATTATCAATAGTTTTAGTATTAATTGTTTCTAATTTTTTTAATTGTTTTAATTGATTTGCTATTTGTGCTTTTTCATTTTTGCAAGATTGAAATTTATCTTGTAATTCTTTGTGATCATTTTGTAATACACCGTGAACTTTTTGTAATTCTTCATGATTTTTTTGTAATGTTTCATAATTTTTTCGCAATTCCTCATTTCCTTTTTGCAATTCTTTATGAGTCTGAAGAAGTTGATCGTATTTTTCAATACGAGGATCCTGGATATTTTCAACTAAATTATCTAATGCATTAATTTCGTCTTCAAGTAGCTCTGAGTATTTATCAAATCCTTTGACATTCACTTGACTAAATAAGGCGTTTTTTTCATCATCTACATTATATGACGGATTCGAGTTCTCTAAAATCAAATCATGTTTTAAATTATGAGAGCTTTCATTGAAACTTGAATCCATATTTTATTTTATAAGTGCGCGTTACACGAAAACAAATTTTTTTTTAAAAAAAAAAATGTAAATGAAAAGAAATGTTGAATACCCCATATTGGGCAGTTTTATATAAAATCGTGAGTGACAATTTAATAATTATCACGTTTTCCCAATGAAATGTAGCACAGAAAATGGGAGTAAATGGAATGTATTGGGAGAAGCGTGATGCATAATCATGCACAAAGAGGGTGTTTTCGATTTTGTAAAAAAATCAAAAAAAAATTAGCATTTATCAATGAAAAATTTACTGCGGATGATAGGAATGAAAGTCCGATCGCAAAATTTTTCTTTTTTTAATTTCTTTTTTTTTCTTACAATTATTTTTGAACAATGAGACAGGGGAAAAGATTCATAAAAGCTGATTAATCATTGATAATTAGTTACAATCTTCACAAGAATTATTGAATATGTCTTCTCATAACATATGTGATGGCACATATATTAAATCCGCGCTCAAATAAATGCGATTTAAAGGAGGTGTATGATATTGATATTGAGATAACCTAAATAATAACACATCAATTTGTGAGTTTTGAAAATAAATTTTTTTTACATAAAGGCAAGCCAAATTTTGCTTATAATGTAAACAAT